ATATCAAGGCACCTCAAGAAAACACCATGAAAGGGCTTATTCTTTGCTGAGAACAAAGAAAGGACATCAATCTTTACACTGATGCTGATTGGGCAGGATATGTCGTTGATTGAAAAACTGGTTTTTGTAGTTATTTTAGGGCATTCTCGTGACTTCAAAAAGTAAAAAACAAAGTGTTGTTGCAAGAAGCACAGTTGAAGAATTCAGATCCTCGTCGCATGGGATTTGTGAAGTTGTGTAGATTAGAAGAGTACTAAGGGAGCTTGGAATTGAAATTGATGAACCAGCTAAGGTGTGGTGTGACAACAAAGCTGCAATAAGAATTTCTCAAAATCCTGTTTTACATGATGCAACCAAGCATATGGAAATTGACCACAGCTTCCATTAACAATCAGATTGAAGATGGCACCATTAATTTGTCCTACATACGCAATACGGAGCAGGTGGCTGATATCTTAACTGAAGTACTTTAGCGAGGACAGATTCAAGAAACTGAACTCCAAGCTGGGAATGATTAACATCGATGGGCCAACTAGAGGGGGAGTATTGGAGAATGTCGTTATTTAAGTGTTTAATTATTTATTTAGTTGTTGGGCCCTGTATTTCTAGGCCAAAATTAGTTCAGATATGCAGAATATCTTTTGCTTTCTCTTTCCATGGTTTTAGGAAGATTAGGATAGCAATCTGTCGCTAAACCCAAACTTAATCTCTTCCTATAAATGTTTTAGCTCTTGTTGAATAAAACTTGCTCAGTTCCACCCCAAATTCTTCATCTATAGAGACCAAATTGACGCTTACACTTGCAAAATGGCAAAGGATCCCAAAAAAATTGGGAATCTTTGTATATTAAATCAGATAACAAATCCCATACAATCTATGTCTTATATCAGAAAATCTGTCAACCAGGAAGTGAAAGGATTAGATAAATTGTTTTCAGCCAGCACTTTCAATCCTTCCAGATTTCCTAGTAATAGGCCCAGAAGGTTTGTCGTCCCAAATTGTGTTTGGGCAGTTGGATGTGAGGGAAAGGCCTTGGGAATTCTTCAGTGAGAGTATTGTGTCTTATTTTTCTTTCAAGTAACAATATATCCAAGATTTGGCCTTGAATAGAACACAATGGCGTCATGCAATCCATGTAACCTATCTCACCTAGTGGGATAAAGCTTTGTTGTTGTTGTAGCTCACACTCCAAAATTATGCCTAGGCAAGCCTTTTTCTTCCAGTGTGATGAGGTAACTTATAATCAATTCATGGATGGGTAATGGGGACCATGGAAATTGATAACCACCTGTGGGGTATGGGAACTAGGATTAGGATCATTGCTGAACTCTACTTTACTAGCGTAGTGGTTGGAATTCATATATATGTGTGTTATCCCCTGTTAACAGAGCCGTAATTTTCTAGAATGCAAACAGTTGATAGTAAACGGAATTGCAAGATGGAGTCAGCAAATATAGTACACATATTTCAGCTTCATCTGTTACCTGAGAGATAGGAACTGAGACAACTACAGGCTCTCCAAGCTCTTTTATGGGGACTATCTTAACAATTTTTTTCCCAAATTTTTCTTTTCTCGCCATGCATCTTGTAAGAACATCAACAGTGTAATTTGCATCTTCAGGTTTTATGCTTGCACTATCTGGGAAGCATATTTGACCAGGTTACAATTGACGAACTGGTATGTGACTTTGAAAGAATAGATAAACTAGGAAGCATAGACATTCCTACCTCCAGATACACTCTTGATGCTTTCAAAATTAATGACCAAACCCCAAGTCACCTGGTCCTCAACAAATGGCGGGGCAAGATCCTCCTCACTTGAACTACACTGGAGAGATACGAGCCTGCCAGGCTGTAAAAAGGGTAAACAGTACCTTGGAGATAATACAATGTCACGAACCTCTCTGTTCAGAAGTCTATGCTGCTCCAGCAGATTGTAGTAATCCTTCAATTTGTCCTCTTCTTCAATCATAATTGATTCCTTCTCTTCTTCAAGACCCTTAACTTGTTTCTGGATATAGGAAAAACGATTCCAATTTTTCTTTAATATGCAAATCAACAATACAAGGAAATCGATAATTTCAAGAAAGCAGCATGATGAATTGTAAATACAAGAGCTGTACACCATCTAGGTTTCATTGTTGCAAAGGGAATGTATGAGTTAACTTTTGATTTCAAGGAAGGTCTATGTAAGTTTTGAAGATAGAAGGGGGGTCACTGTAATTGAGATAAAATAAGATATTGGTGTATTTTACCCTAAAAGTTGAACAGCATTAAAAGTCCAAAGTTGTTAGGTGCCAATTATTTGGGATGGTGATGAATGCCCAATAAAATGGATGTATCCCGGATGTCTGTGTTCAAAATTTAAGTGTCAACATTTGATATAAAAAATACCTAGGTACGTCAGATGCTGAGATGAAAATAATGGCATATCAAATACAAGCAAAACTCACCCAAAGAACAAAGACCATCCAAGATCTTTAATGTAATATGAAGGAATAACGCATAAGTAATAACTTTACGTGATAACATCATCCAGCACTCAGTTAAACAGGAAACCGCTACCACAAAAAGGAATTTCACATAACAGCTTCATTTTCCCCCCTTGAGTTATGATACGCTACCTCACAGATTTAAGTTGACTTATTCAAGGAAGGGTAAACGTGGCAGGGAAGAATCAGATATGGAATAGCTGTTTTTCAGTATTTTTATTATTTCTGTTAACAAGTTTCAGTTGAGAAATAAGTGGGATACCCCACTTTAACGTTAGAGTTAGTTCCAGATTTAGTTGATGATTATTATCTTTGAATTATCAACATATTCTCTCTCTGTAATTCATTTTTAAAGGCTCATTAGCCTCAGGAATAAGATAGGACATCTTTTCAGAGAGTACATGTGTTTTGGAGATTCTCCATCAGTCTTCTAGTGAGTGTTGTGAGATACTTGCAACCCTTCCTATTAGAAACTATTTTCCTTCTCCTCTGTTTTTTTTTTTTTATTTTCCCGAATCAGGTCCCTACCAAGTTAGCGAAGTTTTCTTTGGTTTGTGGTTCTTGGAAGATGTTCATCCTCATACAGTGGTATGGCGCTTCAACTGCTTTTATTCTTGAAATACATTTAATGAAAGTTTCACCAGGTCTGTGCGCAATTTTTTTTTTTTTTTGGTGAAGGTCTGTGTGCAATTTAATTACATATGAAACATAAATGGGGAAAGCCTCCATAAATACATACAAACCTCAAGATCAGGAAGGGCACGGTCAGCTTGGAACTGATAAAAAGAATTGCGAAGCAAATTTTCAGGGTCACCATCCTCACATCGCATCTGATTTAAAACTGTGTTGTAGCTTAATCGAAAGGCACTGATGCAAATGGGAAAAGTAATTAATAGATAATAATTCATTTTAAAATTATCCAAGTGAGAATATAATATTGAATTGGTCTATTTTAATAGTGTGTAAATAAAACAAAGACACTACATCAAAATCTAACGAAATGCAAGACAGGATAATTCCTTGATTTATTTCACATTCCAGCATCACATAGAGAAGAAATCCCTATTTAAGTAATCATAAAGGAATGATGGAAACCATAAGCATATTCTAGAAAATTTAAACATAATATACAAAGCAACACTTACTAACAGAAAATTTAAAGTGAGTGGGCCCCAGTCACTTGCCCTTTGTTTGGTTGGGGCTTTTCTGAGGGGAGGGAAGGGAAAGGGAGGGTAGGAGAGGAGGAGAGTGTGTTTGGCTGGAAGGAGGGGAGGGGAGGGAAGCTAAAAATCTCTCTCTCTGTGCTCCCCTCCCAAACTGGGGGGTTTTGGAGGGGAGAGAAATAATATGCAGATATAAACAAAAATGCCCATGACATTTGTTTAATATTCCAGCGGTACCCCTAGTAACTTTTTTTCTTTTTTCTTTTAACATTCGTTTCATTCCCTTCATGTTCCCTTAGTGTTACTACGTACTTGCCTGATGCTCAGTTATACATATACATATATATGATATGTATACATGTCAACTAATTAACTAATTATTTATAGATATTAATATACATTACAGTTATAATATGACACTGTATACATGTCAACTAATTAACTAATTATTTATATATATTAATATATATCATAACTATAATATGACATTGCTAAAATGATATTTTTTATTTCCTAATACATGGAGGGTCTTGTCATATAGTTAAGGTCTTGTCTCTTTTTCTTCAAATTAATTTTCTAATTTTATCACATTTAAAGAGATAAAAGATTTTAAAAGCCATATTAAAATTAATAAGACAGCATGTTAATATTAATAAAATCATTTTTAAAATGCATGTGAAAATATTTTACCATGTATAAGTAAGGTGACAGGTTTTTAAAATTCTAACTAATTAATAAAATTAATAAGCATTTTAAAATGCATATAAAAATATTTTATCATAACAAAATACAAGGGTAAAATTGTTTATATAAGAATTACTTCCCTTCCCTCCCCTCCCTTCCTCAACAAGATAACATTAAAACCCCACATCCCCTTCCTTTTGTTAAAATCCCTCTCCTCCCCTCCGACCCCCCCCCAAATTAAAATCCATCCCCTCCCCTTCCTCGAACCAAAAACACCCTTAAGGGTAAAAACATCTATTGACCCAAGACAAAGACTTCCCCCGCAACTACAGAATCAAGTTGAGTGGTTTTTTGAGCAACAAAGACTGGGCATTCAAGAGGTAGTGAAAAAATGCAAAAAGATTAAGGCTAGAAGAAATAGCGAAGTTACCCGCCAAGGATATATGTTTTTTTTACTGTCAAACTTTTTTGAAGGACATAATTGTGTACAGAAATTGCAACTGATTAATTTCTCCTCAGCTTCCTCTTCCTATCTACTTTCATAACATATTTAGGTAGTACGGATGTTTGAGGTTTGGTTTGATTGTTTCCCACTAGAAGACCAAGATATTGAATCTAGAGCATTTGCTTAGGAGGTTATTGTTGAACCAAAATCGGTCATGGATAAGGCATGGCTACGACCAACTCCGATACAAAGCAGGAAATATGAAGGTCTTTGAATTGATTTCACTATCTTTTTACAAATCACAATGCAGTGCACAATTTATAAAGGGGCTATGATTATTTAAGATAGATCAGATACCAAAAAGTAGGTCAAGAGAACCTTGAGAAACGTAACTTATTATGTAGATATTACAAAAATAAAGGAACAAAAAACTAGGACCTAAGAAGATAGTTTATAAGCAGACTAATAAGAAAAGTAGTAGCGAAAATGTATACTGATTTCAACAATAATTATATTAAAGAAATGAAATATAAATAATATTTGAAACCGAAATTTAAGAAAGCAGGTCCAGAGCTAATGTAAACAAAACCAAAGGCCGTCAAAGTCAACAACTATTATTAGCAACACCATTACGTAATGCATGCTGTACACAGTGATAAGCAATTTACCTGTTTAAACTGTCAGCTGCACCTTTAAGCATCATTTTAGCAGTAGAAGGTTCCATCTTCTCATCAACCATGAGGATACATATTCCCCGTTCATCAATACCTCGTCGACCAGCACGACCACTCATCTGTATATATTCACCACTGGATAGCCACCTAAACTTGTCCCCATCAAATTTTCGGACATTTGTAAAAACAACCGTTTTTGCAGGCATGTTCAAACCAATGCTAAAGGTCTCTGTGGCAAACAAACACTAAAAAATAGATATATTCAATATGTCTGACAATATAACAAATCAACTATTTTTTATTTATTAAAAGGGGGGAGGGGAAGGCTGACATGACATAGCATGATTGTACCCAAATCTGAAGGAGTGATGTTAGCAGATCAGACCAGAAGAATAATTTCACTAAGGAAAAAAGGCCCCGGAGAAACTTCTTATTGGCATGTAGGTGGTTTATGAATTCATAATATTAATATTGGTATTCAAGACAAAAGAAAAATAAAAAGTTAATGAACAAATAACAAATAGCCTATAATGCTTGCCAATAGATTCTATAATGGCTACTGATACACTGATTATGCTAGCATTTAATAAGACATTTTAACAACTATGAAATAAACAATTTAAGAATTTAATGAAAACTAAAATTATTTACAATATATGAAAATACACAAAAAGTAAAACCTTTATCCAATTAATTTTTCCACTAACCTTAATTAGCCCTTCTTGGAATAATATCTCAATCACTTCCTTCAAAATTGGGAGCAAGCCAGAGTGGTGTACTCCTATTCCACGTTTCAGCAAGGGCAGCATGTTTGAAACCTATAATATATTATACACCAGAAAAATTGATTAACACATCCATATATGAAAGTATACAATTATGATACTCTACTAAAATAAAGCAGTTCTTTTATGCAGACAGCGTCAAATAATGAATAAAGGTCACATCCATATATTTGTTTGCTTTTAAATTTGAGACAGATTTAGTTTGTGAAATCTTCTAGGATTACTAAAAATGTTTGATGGTATAGACAAATATGATCTGAATGTTGTTTGTATTCGTTCTGAGGACTGGAATATATACAAGAGAGAGGATCACATCAAAGCATCAAGATGCAAGGAGCATTCGCATATAGAGAAAGCAAAGCTTAGTCAGAAACTTTAAATTCAAAAAAGACCATGAAAGAGGAGGATTCAAACATTCGAAGGGATAAAATTAACCCAAGTCATAAACATATTTAACCAATGATAGAGCAATGAGAGGTAAGAATGATAGCAGAAAACGTGAAGAAGCTAACAAAGAAAGGATGATAGTGTTGACACCACCAAAGAACTGAATACCCCATGTCAAGCCCCACTACAACTACGGTTGACAAGGCTGGCATTGAAATGACAAAAAACCCGCCATACCATGGCGGGACAAAACATGTGGAAATTGACAAACACTTCATCAAAGAAGAGGTTGAAGGTGGCATGATCAAGTTATCCTATGTTCGGTCTCTCAATCAAGATGGAGACATTATGATAATGTTACTTGCTAGATTGCAGTTTGAAGGACTCTAAAGCAAGCTGGGAATGCCAGATATACATTCTCCAGCTTGAGGGAGAGTGTCAGAAATCACTTATGATAAGATATTGTAGTTTGGTTTGACGTTAAAAGTTTGCTTTATGTGGCAGAAAAGATGCATGACTTCTATCCTCATCAACTATCCCTATCTGTACGTCATTCAATCCTTACTGTGTTCTTCATCTCTTGCTCTGTTTCATATCAAAAACCAACAAAAGGTGTTCCTTGCTAGATTTTTTGAAACAACCCATCAACCTCAAATTCCCCTTATCAAAATAATGCTTTAAAGCAACCCATTAGGGTTCAAAAGCCACTTCTGGCTAAGCGTGTGAATTAGGGTGGTTTTATGCAGTTAATGTCTTTTAGTCTTAAGTTAATAGCGTTACTTGTTGATTATTGTTGGTTATGCGGCAAACTATAAAAACCCATTATGTAAGGAAGCTTATCACGAATGGAGGTATTATGCAGTAACCTGGTCTCTCTATCTAGAACTTCAGATCCTGGTTTTAGACTCTCCTCCCTTCTTCCCTCTTTTCTCATTCTATTTCCTAGTCCTAACACAGCCAGAAAACCACCAAATGAACACTTAAAGTTCTACACCTCAGTGAATAAATCCCAATAATTACACCGCCTAAACCTGCTTAAGCTTTAAAAAATATGAGGTACAAAAGAACAGCCCAATTTGTCTTCAAATCAGGCCCCTCCTTGTACAAACGACTCCATTTAGTTCAAACTTGTACAAGAACCTAAAGTCTCTCGTTTCAACAATCCATGATGCATTGAACACCAGAAAAGTGCATCATGAATCGTTGAAACGTGGTATAGAGAAAGAGAGAAAACTAGAGAATGTAACTTACCTGAGGTAGCTTCTTATCGTCATCTGAAAGCATATCCATAGCACTCCAGAAGATTCTCTCTGTGTTTTCCTTTTCATCATCCCCATTAAGGTCCATTTTTGCCATCTAAAAAAACAAAAAAACACAAGGAAGATCATTGACGTAAGCTGGTAACACCAAACGTACTGCAGCTCAGAACAGAAACAGCCTTCTGTCGCCTATTACAGCAAATAAGCCAGCAGAAAACTAAAGATTTAAAGAGGATAACCATCAATAAAAAAATTGCAAAGCAAGTTGTCACCTGCATTGCAAGAAGCTCGCACTCTCGTTTGCTAAAGCTAAAAAGTATAACAGGATCATACTGGCGCTGAATGATCATTTTCACCATCTTGAATATGTCACTTTCTTCACCCACTCTAGCTAGGGCCAAGCCCTTCAACTTGCCATTTTCTTTTCTATTATTGCCCTCATTATTGGGAACAAGGGCATTTAAAGCTCTCTGGAAACTGTCCTCACGAAATTTTCCCTTGTCATCCACAACCAAATACAACCCATCACCTCCAGAAGGAAAAATATAATGCTGAAGAGGAGTTGGTCGGTAATCAGTATAAACAATATGACAAGGCTGTAGGTGCACCTGCAAGTAATCTACCAAATCAAACCAACTATCTAAATGATCACCACAAAAACCAGACAATAATTCAGTTGGCTAAAATGCATTAGGGAAAAATAATACCTAGTCGCAACTCTTTTAATGTTCAAAGTAAATAGATAATATGATAAATGAATGCTCTTTCAGTATCACATGCCAAAGATTCAACCTTCACGTTAGAGAGCCAAAAATGTTTACGGTATGGTCAAATCCTTGAAAATTAACTGAGAGAAGTTCTAGATAAAATTCCAAAAGACATTGAAACTCCCAGTAAAAAATTATTTATGCAGTTTATTTTTCCTATTACATTATTATAAATGGTTGAAGTCATTGGTGATTTAATTGAGAATTGCAGTTAAACTATAAAAAAGACATCAAAACTCAAATACAAAACACGCACTTTATATGACTAGCTTACGCCCAAAACCTTAACATAAATGATATAGAAATGAATTAGTGACAAGGTGTAAACACACTTTCAACCCTAGATTTTCCCTTTTGTGATCAATGGATATACAGTTTTTATTCAAATAAATAAATAAATACACTTTCAAAACTCCAATATGATATTATGTATAACTTCTGCAATTTTTTCATTGTCCACGTAAGTGTTCGTTCTATTATTGAGTTATCCCCCAATACCAATTTTTAAGTAAAAAACAAACAAACAAATAAAATGCGAGAGATAGAAGAGAGGGGGGGAAAAGAGAAGAACTTGCAAATAAGGTTATGTATGCATCTAAATGATGTAACAGAATGTATTCATTAATAGGGCCGAGTATATGAATTGGATCTGATGCATTGTTGCTGAGAAACAGCTCTACATGTGCAAACCAACTAACAGCAGATCAAAGAATGTATCACCTTGGCAACCCAATCAGCAAACTCCTTCGCGTTTGGCACAGTTGCAGATAAAAATACAAAACGGGAATTCTTTGGTGACATAACAATACTCTCTTCCCAAACCACACCTCTTTCACGATCACGCATGTAATGTACCTCATCAAAAATGATCCAAGCCACCTCCCTTGTGACCTCCGATCCTTTGTACTGCATGCTACGCCAGATTTCTGTAGTCATCACCTGAAATATACACAAAAACGTAACAATCCTTTTATCCAAGTAAATTATATAATGTCGCTCATGTAACAATTTAAACAGATGACTCACCAAGCAAGAAGCATTGGGATCAATTGTTACATCTCCAGTCATCAAACCAACATCAGAAAATTCCTCTTTAAACTCTCTATACTTTTGATTGCTTAGAGCCTTAATAGGTGAAGTGTATATCACTCGTTGTCCATTACGAATAGACATAGCAATAGCATATAATGCAACTACCGTTTTTCCCGCAGATGTATGTGCAGATACCTATAAGAAATTCATAGCATCAAAAGATAAATATTATCTACATGAAAGATAGACAAGATTTGCCCAAAATAATCAATTTAATTACTTTCCTCATACAAATCAAATGTATTAGCCCCACACAAAAAAAAGCCAACAACTTTGGGACCAATCTTTCATCTTGCATATTAGGAAAGTACCATGACAGATTCGCCTTTTTCAAGGCAACTGATAGCTTCAGATTGGAAAGGGTCAAGAGTGAAAGGGAACTTCTTGGCAGGCTCAGAATGTTGTGCAGCCGTAGACTGAGGAGACAGAACAAAACCCTCTGGGTAAGAAACATCATGCACACATGCCACAGGTTCATCAACTAATTCTGAAGCATATTCTCCCTGTTGCCTCTGGGAAGGGCGAGTTTCATCAGGTTCATTGTCCGGAAACTTCCTCTTCAATGACCCCATTTAGAGCTTCAATTTACGAATTCTAAAAAACTTAAGGAAAAAAAAATTAGATGAACAGAAAAATTCAGAGTGAAAAGCAAAAAGCTCAAGACTGTGATTCAGGCTCTACGCACAACTAGCACAAATTCATTCAAATAACTATGTATAATACAATTCATCAACTTTGACCTAACATAGTAAGAATTATTTTCAATCTATTATTTAAAAAATGAACAAAAGTTAAAATATTCAATTCTATACTAATTCTTTAAAGAACAGTAATTATAATTATCTTCTCATCTCTCACAAGCATTTCTCAAACGCAACTACTTTCATTTTTATCTAGATGTGGTAGTTCCCTCTTCTGCGTCCAGCGAAGAAAGTGTGTTTACCTAACTACCTCTGCCTAGGAAATTCACTCTTATTTGTTTGTAGAAAAATAAAATCAACAAATCTGGAAAAACATAAATAAATCACATCACCCGAATCAATATCTAATCTCAATCTAAAATCCAATCTCAATATGAAAACAAGTAAAAGAAAAATCAGAAACAAATAAAAGTATAACAACTAAATGATCAAATATCTAGACTCAATCCATGAGATTCTGATCTTCTTATCAGGATAGACTCTAATGATGACTCACAATGTTCTTCAATTCTTTTTGGGGGACATACTTATACCAGCCTATCTTATAAATAGAATGCCCTCTAAAACCATCACCTCAAATCTCCAGTTCAAAAGCAACTTGAAACGCACATCAACATAGGCAGACTTATATTACACTCAGTGGAGACATGAAATCTTTGAAATATGCAAAGCCGATATAATACCCTTTTAATTTTTGTTCCAGATACTAGCCAAGTCATTTACAAAATCATACATCAAAATACCTTGAGAATTTTCCAAACTGATGATAATATAAAGAGATAAATAAACAAAATGCCAAAGGGCAACAAACCCAACATTGTAATACAACACAATCCAAAGCATCCAAGTCGTTAGTAATCAAAATGAAGAGGGAAGAAGTATAATAGCCAATTACACACCAATTTTAAGAGAAAACTAGTTAAAAATAAAAATTAGACTCAATCTGTAAATATTATCAAATTTAAAAGTGTCAACATTCAAACGATTACGTGACTGGTTTCAAAGCCAAAATAAAATGAAAAACTTAAAGCAAATGGCGTAAATCCATCAGCACTTAACTCAAGCCTCACATTTCATGGATCATCAGCAAAGTCAAGATATGAACTATCAAAAACTTTCCATGCTTGGCCGTCAAAGGGATAAGAAAGGGCATTAGCATCTCTATGATCCGTATAGTGCCATGTCATTTCCTTTATGGTTTTGTCAGAAGCATACAATCACTACAATCTAGGAATCAGTAAGAACCACAACTGCTTCCTTCCAACTTTCTTTTTTCTTCCATGACACCTTCTAGAGGAATATCTTTCCTCACACAAAACTTACATTGGATTGTACTATCATCAACTTTATAGCAGGAAATACACCATTCACACAACAATCAATCTTTTTATAATCAAAACCTAGCTTTGACACCAACTTCTTTGTTTGGTACAAGTCTGTAGGCATACAAGTGTCTTTAGGTTGTGTCCTCCTCATGAGTTGGGAAACTAAATTGTAGTCTTGTTGTAATATGTTAATTGTTGCCTTAATGCTTAATAACTGCAAAGCTACTGAAAGTATAGACTCCTCTTCTCAACCTTCCCACAATGGTTGTTGCGCAGCATGTAACATGTCATGAAATGCTCTTGCATTAGGATTTGGCACCTTTTCAATGAAGCACGTATGGCACTTGGTATTGAAGACATAGGTGAATGAGATTGTATCTCTGTCTCACCATGACTATTCCATATATAATACTTTGGCATCAATCCAAATTGATAGATGTGTGTCTTGACCTCATTAACAATTAGATATGCCTACATTTACATTTATACATGGACACCTAAGCTTCCCCAATGTTTGAGAATAAGGTGATCTTAGAGCATAAGCAAGTAACTCCTCGTCAACTTATTGGAAATCTAGCATATACCATTTAGTGCTCGGATCTACTTTATTATACATCCATCTTTGATTTTGTGGGACTTCCATTCAATAAATGAGTGTTTTCAGCAATGTGAAGTCAAAATGCAGCAAGTTTTCAGCAACCCCAAACCTTTGTAACTTGAGTGCTGAATTTTTTTGGGTGAAATTTTGTGCTCCAGCCGCAACCAAGTGTGAAGTCAAGGTTTTTTTATCTAAATTCAGAACACATAAAGAGCGCATAAAATAATAACCTTCCTAACACATGTACTGCAATTTGATGGCAACTTCACTTAATACTAATAGAATGACAATTATCTTATTAAAAACAACCCAATCACTATACAGAAGCATACATTAGTATCTCAATAATCCAAACATGAGACATGGCTTTAGGTGACAAGAAGTTGAAATGAAAAACAGCTTTACATCCGAGCAAAGGCAAAGTTCTTTATTCACAAAGAACTTAAACAGTTAACAGCAGCAAAAGTTAACAGTCAATTCGTTCAACAAAAAGCCTCAGAAATATCATTTGGGGGGGGGGGGGGGGACGGCTTCATGGATGATTTGAAAAATGAAAACTTTGCATAGACACAAGCATCCACACCCCAAAAAAAAGCAAGTTTAGAAGCAAACACAGAAATACGAGAAATACATTCAAAGCACCTAAACTTATTTACGGCAAACCGAAAATTGATATTGTTTTACAAAATAAACAAGCAAGTGCATAGTAAGAAGAATCAGGCGGCGTGACAACACCACCTTGCGCAAAAAACTCACCTTGAGGCTGGTGATGAAGAGAGACTAGAGATCGAGCTGTGGTGGTCGAAGCAAGAAGCCGAGGCAGAACGAGGGGAAGGCCGACGGTGATTACGGTGGGGACGACGCCGCTGGTGACGGAAGTTGGAGGAACATGTCCATGTGGGTGACAGAGGAAGATGATTGAGGAGATTCCGTCGAATTTTTTTGTATGGCCGAATGGGTTTTGCCCAAAGAGGAAGAAAGAAGCAAACAGAGTGAGAAGGAAAAGGAGAAAGCTGAAGTCACAGCGGCAGTGAAGAACAATGGAGTCGAAGGTGAAGTCTCTGACGGTGCAGACTGCAGAAGAAAGCTTTTGCAATTTTGCAATAATGTGCCCTAAGGTTGTGCTCAAAACGGTGAGTGCAATGACGCTGATGGTTCAGGATATGTTTGGATTGATCCTGGATAAAACTACTTTTAATCTAACTGATTTTTGTAATTAAAATAAAAGTTAGAGCCTGGTTGGTTAAACAATAGGATCTCAACTAAATCCGTTTAAATTTAAATAAGTGCTTATGAAGCATGTTTAAGGTGTTTGGATAATTTTTATAAAATCCCGATAAATCGTGATTTTAACTTTCCACCACACTTTTAGGATAAGCAACAAGAAGTAGCTTATGCGTTTGAAAAATCCCAATGAATCTTCAGTAACTAAATTTTCTCCAATCTACCCCTCATTCTAATGGTTATTATTTTAATTTTTTTAAAAATACAATATGAAACTGTTTTTCTAACACAAGTTCAAATAGTCATTGCAGCCATGGCTATCCACAATTTTATTAGACGGCATACTGAAACTGATTTTAAATTTAGTCAGTATGAAAATGAAAATATTCTCAAAGGTAATTATGATGATTATGTCGTTTCATATCCATCACCAAGTGCCAAGATAGTTTCCTCATCAGAAATGGATCGTCTTCGAGATTCAATTCGAAATCAAATTCTGCCATGCAGGGAAAATAATTAACTATCATTTTTATTAATTAGTTTTGTTGTTTAAATTTTATTTCTTAGTTATAATTTTGACTGAACATTTAATTTCCTTATTGATGTTACTAAAATTGCTAATCAATTTTTTTTTTATATTGTCATTCATCTCTTATTTATATGGGGTCTTTTATTTAATATTTGTACTACACAAAAATTTTGTAAGTGATTTTAAATAATAATAATTTTTAAATAAAAATAATATTTAAATATTCATGTCATTTATTAAACTATATTTAATAAAATTTATTGTTAAATATAATAATTATGAAAATATAAACAACTTTATTAACTTCATGTCTTTTTTTAGTAATTATACACCCATAAGTGATTTTAATAAATGAAAACCAAACATAATCACAATTCTTAAAATTACTTATAAAAAAAATCCAAACAAAAATCACGATTAATTAGTGTCACTTATAGCCAGTATCACTTATAAAATTCATAATTATTTAAAATCACAATTGTTCACCGCTAATCCAAAGGGGCACTTAGTTAGAATATGTTTAGATATGTGTTTTTAAAAAGTCGGTTGGAAAAATTAAAAGTTGTTTGGATAAATAGAAAGTTAATTCAGTTGTAAAATAATTGAAAAGGGCATATATTTTATTGAATAGTAGTGTTTAATATTTTAATGTGATAATTGTTAAAAAATCTAAAATTATTATGATAAAAAAAATAGTTTATTTGTGAGATTATAAAATAAAAATATTTGTTACCGAAAAAAATTTGAAAACAATAGACAATTAATTAAATATATATAATGGATAAATATGAACATAAATTAAAATTCATTTCGTCTCTAATTAGAATAAATAAAATTACATAAGTAATTAGTTCGTAATTAATTAAATATATATAATAGACAAATATAAACATCAATTAAATTAAAATTCATTTGGTCTCTAATTGAAGTAAATGAAATCACATAACTAATTAGATCGTAAGCTTTACACAATTTGATCTCTAATTGAGTCATGAACACAATTCATTTGTGTGGTAGATGTTAAACTTGACGAGGATGCCTTACGAGCTGGATGATTACACAATCAAATGAACTATTTTCAGAATTTCCTCCACCATTCACAAGTATCATTTAGAAGCTTAATGTCTCGTTTTTCATATGATGTTAATGTCTCGTTTGTCATCTGATGTTAATGTCTCGTTAAACACATAATGAATTTCAAATATTTCTTATCAAATTTTGAGTAAAAATAAATTTAGTTTGAAAATTTGATCAGTCCCTCTGCTTTATGTTTTTATTAATTAATTTCAAATATTTCTTATCAAAGTTCTCGATAAAAATAAATTCACCCTGAAAAAAACTGATAACACATGAATGTGAAAGTCTCCTTGTCAATGCTAATCAGCTTTTGCAACCCCATAAACTAAAATTAACATCAAGAAATAAGCTACAGTTCAACCCAATATAATATCAGCGATGTATTTCTCAATTCAATTATTAAAAGTCATTAACAACAACTTTTTTCTTTAATAGAAATGCTAATGGTGTTTAAAGTATATATACCCCCCCATCTTTTTTATATATTTCTCTATTTTCCAACACATGACATCGTAGAACTGATAGATAAGTGCTCGTCTAAAGAATACTCAAAGTTGTAAAATTCAAGTTGGGAAGTAATTGACAAAAGACGAAATATGCTAGTACCGGAAGTGATAATGGGAATGCTGTTACTGGAACAAACCACGCAAATAGGGATATATGAAACACCTGCAAAAGCACGAAGAAGGAGCAACAAAGAGATTTTGATTTCTCAAGGGAGTGCACATACATTGAAGGTGGTAGATCAGTTCGGTGAATCATTCAGAACTCTAAATAAATTATATTTGTTAGTCAAACAATAGCTAAAATCAGAGGAGGAAGAAAAAAAGCAATCCTCCTTCAACCACAGTGAGCATTGACAAGGAGAATAGGGGATCTGAAAGTTGAACAAGGAAGAGAAAAGAAAGACAACCACGGTACCTTCGGGGGCGGAGAATGACTGCGGCGATTCAACGCACAAGCACACTGGTGATGGCACCAAAAATGACCCAAATCTATTTTGATGAAGGGAGAAGAGCCGACAACACCCACAGACAGAGACGCTGGAGAGAGCAATGGACGAAGACGCAACTGAGACCGATGGACGAAGACGCTAGCGAGAGCAACGAATGGAGAGAGTGCCAAGAGTGAGGGAGGTGAACACGGCTGAATGCAAAGCAGCTGCACGGGTTTCTCTGTTTTGATTTGAAGAGGGGCTTGAGCTTGGTCTGGTAGAAATGATAGATGAGAGAGATTAATGCTCATTTAATGCTTATTTAACGGTATACTGTATTTTGAAACGGTAAAAAGCTCTTGGAGAGAGCATTGGAGAGAGCATTGGAAAATAATTGCTTTTTTTTAGAAGTCAGATACAAAGGTCATCCATCCAAACAACCAATTTACTTTCAAAAAGCCTCCAACTGACTTATTACATTTTTCGAGGCACGTTTGGAGCTCTCAACGGAGATCCAAACGTGGCCTTAATAATTAAAGTTGTATAAATTTTTTTAGCATATAATTATAGTTATTTTATAATTTAATATTACTTGCTTTTTAACTCAACTATTTTTATATGAAAAATGCCATTGAAGTATTTGATTTTATTGAGAAATTTATCTTTGTCTTGCCCTGATTTACCATATGTTTGCTACGAGAGAATTGGAGGAGAAGAAAAAAAAGAAATTTTTTTAACAAACTCGATTTACAAAATTAAAAAAAAATAAGATTATAAAATTTTGATTAAAAAAAGATATAAGATAAAAGAGTAAGAAAAATTAACTTAATGTTTTCAAACCCAGTTCTTTAATTTTTTAAAATCGGCCTTATTAAAAACGTGTCCCCCCTATTTCTTCCTTTTCTCCGGTAACAAACGGAGTCTTAACATTTTTTGCCTCACCCCATAAAATTCCTTCGTTTTTTTTTTACCAAGCCATGCAAGTTCAAAAGTTGCTATGTAATATTAAAATATCATTTTTCTTATATGAGAATTATGCAACTATCTTCACCTGAATATCCAATTTCAGCTTCTAAATTTGGCCTTTGCAGAAAAAGCTGTGAAGTTTAGGGAGTGTTTGGGTAAAAATAGAACCATAGTTTTGAAAGTGTTTTTATGGTATATGAAGTAAACATGCAGAGGAATTTACTTCGTTTTATGAAAAAGTGCTTTTAGAAAGCACTTTTAAATCCAAACACCCCCTTAGGGTGTGTTTGGAATAGTGGTGGTAAAAGTAACTTTTTTTAAATCTGACTTTTACAGAAGTCAGATTGAGTAAAAGTCAGATAGTATAGTGTCATTTATGTTTGGATTGGGTTTTGGAAAAAAGCCAATTTGAGAAGCTGAAACTTGTTTAGATAATAAATGTAAAAGTAAATTTGGATGCAAAATGACTTAGAAGGACATGGATTTTTGTCTGAGTATTTAATGAGTTTTTATTTTTTAATTTTACCCATTATACATTCTCCTTACTTCTTGATTCATTTATTGCATATTTTACTTATTTTCTTTATTAATAAGGGCATATTTAAAAAAATATATATGGCTTACATATTTATTATTTTTAATTGATTTTAACTAATTTTTAGATAAACATAAATGGATAAAGTTTATCTTATTTTTTGAACAGGATGGAGTACTTGATTAAATATATTTAATGGATAAAAATATATATAAATTAAAATATATACATAGAGTATTAATCAAATTGAATGGTGACTCAGCACCTCTGTCCTTGTTTTTTTCTAGCCACAAATAGAGACCATTATGCATGCAGCAAGAGGATAAATGGGCAAGTAAAAAATTTAAAACGTAATTAATGCTGGAGCACCATCTCTCACCGCACCGTGTCCTAGAAGCACAAGGACGGGGCTTCATTTTAAAAACTCATTTAGCCTCAAAAGTCAGATTCCAGAAACATGATCCCAAACAACGTTTTAACCCAAAAAGTCGCTTTTGCCGATAGAGAAGCTTGTTTGAGCCTCTAACTGCGATCTCAAACATACTCTTAGGTATGTTTATTAAATAGTAGTGTTTAAAATTTTATGTTTTTAATATAATAATAGTTTAAAAAATATGTAAAATTATTATGATAAAATATAAATAATTTATTTGTGAAATTATAAAATAAAAATATTTGTTACGAAGAAAAATTTGAAAACACATTATAAATAATTAATTAAATATACATAATAGACAAGCATGAATATAAATTAAAATTCATTTGGTCTGAACAAAAGCTTATTATGCTAATGAAGGAGATGAGGCAGAGGGAAAAATGTGAGGGTAAATTTGGGATGCTCATTT